CCTTATTTTACCAGACAACGCAGTTGTTGAAAATGATGCATGTAATGATACAGGTAATATTACAAAGTTATTAACTTTATGTAAAGACTTGCCACTCGTATTTTATTAATATAATAGATTTCAAGTTTATAATTTTTTCCAGCAAATTATTTCCATTTTCTTGGTATAAGAAACAACGTATCTAGGAAAATTAACAAAATATACTTAGTTTTCCGATTAAAAACTTCATACCTACCATATCCGACTTATTGTGCAGAATTTAATCTAGTCAAAAATGTTAAATGTGCCACATCCGACATGTACTTACAGAATGTTATACAACAAAAAAACTTGGATCTACCACATCCTGCGTAAGATAGTAAAATATGTCCGTGTAAAATAGCTTCACGTGACATTGTAACGTTTATAAAGTAAAATAAATTAATCTATTATATTTGTTTAATGTATCGTAGAATATAAAACACCCATGCCTAATTTCGTAATCCTAACCCTTAAAATATCGTTTTTATTCAATTTTTCATCTTTAAACCGCTCTCATGTAAAGTTGCATATTTGTAGATACTACATTAATGATAGGGCGTGGCGATTTATCTATATGAATGATATGGTTGATTTACTCTAATACAAACAAATAAATTCATATAAGACACCTATTTAGATAAAAATAATATTGATAAGGTTTACTGAGAGTAGTTCTAGTAAGACTATATAACTTGAGGTTCTACTAAGAAAATCGAAATCGCTATTATCGATCAATATAACGATATCAATTCGAAGGATTAATTGTTTAATTTTAAAATCCATCGCAATCCTTTTCAATTTGACATTTGAAAGATTTTGACGACACGCTACAACTATTCGACATGTGATAGTGTTTGAAATTTTTTAAGATATGGTCAATGTTCTAATTTTAATTTTATTTAAAGTTGTAATTAAGGAAATATAAGTACAAGCTTTTATACTTAGTGTGGGTAAAATTTGACTGAGCTGAAATCTTGTGTGCATTTGTAACTTAGATGACAATGCAATATTATTTAAAATGGTGCTAATCAAATAATTGAGCCGGCAGGCCCGGTTCTAGGGGTAGAGCTAGTAAGAGCCCCGGGCCCCAGTGTCGGGACGGCACAAAATCATGATAACTTAATACAGTAAAAAAACTAGCTTCCCAAAATGTATTTTTTAAAAAATCATAGACTTCGGCTACGATGGGACCTACATCTTTTCTAAGTCCCTAAATTACATTAAACATTGCAAAGATATAATATAAAAAATACATCAAGATTCTGCCCCGGTTGGAACAAGTTGTAGATACTGTCCTTGGAGCCTGAAATAGGCAAGGGACTTATATAATTAAAACAAGTAAATCTATCAAAGTTGATATGTCTCTATAAGATAACAATAATGGTTATTATAAAATGTATAAAAAAATAACTACAGCATGATTTAAATAGAAAATCTTAATTTTGTATTTTAGGGCTTATTCACGGCAAAGTAATCTTTCTTATTGGAAACAGACAAGTAATTATTAGATAAATTCCTATTGCGAATCTTATTGTGATTTTTAAGATGCAATTGTGTGTGTAATAAACTCAATATCGGTATATTTTGTATATAATATTCATTATTTGAACAAAATTTTGACACATTGTACATACACATAAACATTCCTCAATGATCACTCTATCTACTTATGAAAACCACATACAAATCCGTTCAGTATTTTTTAAATAGCATTAAAAAAAAACACGAAATATGAAGTAAACAATTTATGAATGAAGATATCTTCAATAAATATTGTCATTTGAATATTAATATTTATAAAACTAACCATCAAGAATCACACAGTGCTATTAATTCTAAAAGATCAATGATTGCATTTAATATTATCAACATAAATGTCCATACCGCAAACAGACCCATCAACAGTAGCTAGTTTAACAGGCAGTTAATAAGTTCTCGGTACACGAGCGTTTAAAGAACACTTTTTTTTTCGAGTTGCAACTGGGCGTGCCGACATTACGTAGCCAAGATGGCGGCCGGGCAAAAAATACGATAATCGCGAATAATTGCAACTAAATTGTTTCATTATTCCACCTGTTCCTATTTTGAACTTAACAAGATTACACTTTGCAGGCGTCAATCATTCACGCTATAACAATTTTAACTCTTATTTCGTCAATAGCAAAGAGGTTGCATTCATAATTGATAAATTGATGGCCGCAAACGTAAGTTTGCTGTGGTTAGAAAATAAGTGTCAACGTGCAAATGGATAATGCCACTGTTTGCGTAACGTTTTCGTTGGATATTAAATAAACGAGCTAAAAGCCTTTATTGAAATCACGTTCGATTGAAAAGCTGACAGATTTATTTATCGATTAAATTTAACCATGATACAAAAAGTATGAATAGGTTTTAACTATCAACCTCTTTTCGGTTTTCTTTTTTTTTTTGTCAAATATTGGAATGCCCAAAAAACTAGTACCGTGATTCGAACGCGACAGTGTTGCAACATATTTTTTTATTGCCACGCTGTTCCGTATATTTCCACAAGTTTTTCTCCAATTAAGCGAGCCAATTTTAAAACTTATTTCGTTATCGGCACAGTAAATCCAGTCAAGGTAACTTTGTCACACTATTTTATTTTAAAATTGTGAGTTTTTGCATACACTGTGTCTTCAAACATGGAATAATGATTCGAAACCAGTTAGCCCGTTAACGCATGATTACTATTGTTAAATACCAAATTGAACTCTAGGTAATATTTTTCTGCTATACCATTATTTTTTTTTTATTTTCGCTACTTAGCAATGAACATACGTGATGATACAATCAACCACAAATTATAGTAATGAAGAAGTACTGTTTCAAAGTTTTCTGAATTATCAAGTGTTATTTTTTTCATATGCAGAGCTATATATCAAGTATATTACTATAGCGTAGGCAGATTGGTACCTTTTAGTATCGTATGTTCCGTTAGGTGTGATCACAAAAAATGGTAACTTATTTAAGCCTAACAATAATAATACCTAACTATTAAGTTTCTATATTTAAATTATATACACGATAACAAAAAAATCAACGACGCGCGTTTCCGAACGTATGTCTTGTCATGTCAAACTGACATCTGTCAACGGACCGCCATCTTCCATGATGCTGACACTGACAGATAATTTCAGCAAATTTTATTGTTTATTCATGGCTTTTTGTTTGCCATGTATGGGAGTAAAACATATTTTTTATGATGGATGGTAATCCCTAGAACCACGGAAGCTTTTGAAATGATTTGAATATATTAATTCCTAGTAAAAAAGTAGTATTTTTAAACCCGTTTTATCTTTTGTCCAATACTCAATAATTGTCGACTATTTTACTATCTATCCTGTTTAACTAACCCTTTTCTTTGATGTAGTAGACAAGACAATATGATCAAAATTGCTTTTAAAAGTACCTACCTACACTATACCATTCCTATTCCAAAATAGAAACTGGGGCCTAACCATGAGCATTGCAAATAATTGTTAACATTCCGTAATTTGAGGAAAATGTTTTTCTCAAATTAAGGATTGTGCTTTTTTACAATTTATTTTCAGGATTTTAAAGTTAGCTATTAGCGATAAGACCGCTGATTATTAACTAATATTTGTGATTTACTTTAAAATTTCTTGTTTTAATTTTTTTTATATATATAGCACGAGTCAACAAATATTTTTTTATTATGTATGTTAAATAATTTTCATGTTGTATCTAATGTATTGACGATAACGCGAAAGCGAAAGACTATTGACAAATAGGCCAGGTATTTATTTGAAAAGGAACCACTTTTCTTATGACCAGTAGTAGTTTTCTGAACACACAAATTAAAAAATTAACAGTAAAAAAAACCCAATAGATAGATACTAATTACTATTAAACGTACACAATTCGCTAATTAGCAAAACTAATTAGGCACAAAGTAAATTAACTAACAAACTTCTTCTAAAACGAAAATGTGTAATCAATTAACATACAACAGGCTCTTTTTACTGCCTATTTATTCAGTACTATTGTTTTGACATATATAACTAATTCCTTTGCCACGTACATACATTATGTAAAAAGACCTGTCAATTTATTTTTCAAAACAAGTCATATATAATTTAAACTAATGTCGTCGAAAAAAATGCGTTTGACACAAATCTAAATATATTAAATCTATTTAAATTTTGTGTATATTTGTTTTTTGACTTGCCTAGTATTTAGAAAGTTTATTAAAAATAGATAATTAAAAATATAGCCTATATATCTCGCGTATGATGTAGATTTCCGTAGGTGAAAGAATTTCGATGCAAACGTTACAAAGAATCAAATCTTTACTCTAATATAAGATGAATCACTTACAATACAGAAACAAAATCATCATGTAACTTTTTAATTTAGTAGCTTTTATTAAAAAATATACTTATAAGATAAGATTGTCTTCATGAATTGAGATAATAATCAACTATAAATGTTTACTGACCTAACATTCTTACGAAATCACAAAATCCAGCGGAAAATAGTACGAGTATTATGTTTTTACCGCAATATTCCAGTTTCACGGCAGCTTATATAATTAAACATTTACTAAAACCGCTATTTATTACATTACATTAAAAATAAACAAATTCAGCTATTTGTAAATACAAAACAAACAAAAAACCTTCTTAAGCGTCGGAAATTTTATTAGATAAAGTTTTATTGTAGCAATTTAAAACTCTTTATAACAAGTTTTCTTATAAGACCATTTAAATACTTTATGGAATGCATCTTATAGGTATTTAAAAAGTTTTCAGCGGATTTGTTGAATGACAAAATTAATTCTAATATATGCATGACATTATTCATTGTTTCGCATAAAATTATCAAATTCGAATGAAAGTTTCAAAGCACCTTGAAAAAATACTGGTTAATGGACTATATATTTAATAAATTATTGTTTATGAAATATCTTTTTGGCTAAATATGTGTAAATGTAAACTTACCGGAGCTAGGTCTATCGCTGTATCTAGTGCAGTACACCCAAGCAGGCCATAGAGTAGAGTTCTGATTCTGACTACTTGTATCTGTACTTCCACACGTTGATGGCGCCCCGCTAGAGGTAGATGAAACTATAGAGCTGGCGGAGTCCGGCCTTTTTTGAGTCTCCACCACTTTTGGTATCTCCTTCTCTTTTTGTATCTCCCCAATTTGCGAGACAGTCTGTCTCAGCCCCCCTAAAGGAGGTAAGCTATTGAAATCGGACTCTTTCGATTTTAAATAATCAAAACTGTACTTTTGAATTTCATTCTGCGCTTTTGAGAGATCATAAGGCTTGTATAAGATACTGTGGTTGGGCCCGACCGGTTTCGGACCTTCGATCTTGCTCGTTTTCCTAATCGCCGTAAGGCCGAATTCTGGATGAAGGATATTGGTGATTGAAAATGCGATTGGCGCCGGTTGTTGCCGCTGCCGAAGTCTGTCTGGATCGAAGTGTTCGGCTGCGATGCGGGGTTTAACATCAGGCGTCTCAGGTCTGTAATAGTTCTGATAACTGTCCATCTCGTTTTGATTCTGCTCGGGGCTCGGAGGAGGCGAATTAGGTTGCACCTTTACGATCGTCATGTTTGGTGACGTCCTCTCATACCTTGGTTCAATTGTTGTGCACGTGTACTGACTTTGAGGGCAGAAATTCATCGAATTATCAGGATGCGGCGGCGGAACCCTACCTGTTACAGGCCCTGGACTGTTCGCCTGGTTCGGGCTGCAGCGATCTTCGAAAGCCATCTTCAAATCAGCTGATAAAACAGCCAGCTACTGATTCAACTCGTGCCACTAAACACACAACTGACTCGATGAAGTGGTCCCTATAATATTGTTATTCATTAAAACAAGTCCGCGGTGTCGGTTATTTGTATGTCAGACGTAGTTGACACAAGTTTTGAATATAGCATTAATATTTATCGAGTTATCCGATACGAGAGAGTCATTAGCATGATTTCTTAATCGGAACGCGGCGTCATCGGATGCGCTGACGCATCGGCGCACTCGTTTTTTTACTCGCGTGATGGACAGCTGCGACTGTCAAATTGAAACGTCAAATCTATAGCAGCAAGGCACTGCGCTCGCGGCGGCGGCGGCCTCACGACTGCGCCCCGCGCCGCTTTCGGGGCACGCCTTCGAACAAACAAGCTTTTTTCCCTACCCCCGCATTTGGTGGGCGTTAACCGCGCTATCTACTGCTCAACACACTTACAAACATCACCCATCTCGCTCCAATACCTTTCAACAGCAACGCTGGAAAAGAGACAGTCACAACACAATTGATTTAACCTGATTGTGTATTTAGTGGGCCTGGTAGAGATTTGTAATTCAGTTGTAAATTGCCGGCACGACTCTTTCGCGGGCTCGTAATGTATCAATAATACTGCGGGTCGCTTTTGAACGTTCGCGGTTCGGAATTTCAATTAATGTTTGACAGAATTATTATATTGATAGACAGGACGCCATCTTGATGAATTATTGAACCGGCCACTTTCTGAAACTTGTATTTTTTCAAACTTATTTTGACATCATAACATTATTAAGTTATATTTCATTTTATTGACTATTTTATTTTTTCTTTATCAATCAAGAATCATTCAATGACTATTTTTTTAATTGCTAGCCAATTAAATGTTCCAAACAACAATCGATTATCGAATTTATTTTAAATAATATCGATTGGCGTGGGCTCAAATCGTTTGAATTCGGTTGTAACAAGAAATTGGTCAATCCCGCTTAATTATCATGTTGTTTTGAATCGATTTATTGGTTGTTAGAATACTTACACGTCAAAATGTAATTTAATTTATCGCAAATTGTAAAGTTTGATAAGGATTTCTAATTAAAAAGTTCAATAAATTACATTATTGCAACCTGTTTGATTAGAGCTAGAGCAGTAGCATGAATAAATTAATTTAGCTACAATAACACCTTAAGACGTTCATAACTATATGTAATTATTACCTATGTATAAAACATGCCGTTAAGCGATTACATTGGAATTCCTGCGGATAAATACATACCTTGCTATTTATTTTCTGTTCTGAAAACAAACTCAGAAGCTTTGTCAAATTTGGCGCTTTATTACTTATAGGCCTAAACTATATTAGTATGTATCGTTCAATTTTAGAGTATTTCCTTTTTATATTGTATATAAAAAAAAAAGAAATTGTCATTTTTGGTGCCTGATCGTTTATCGTATTTTACTTATATATAAGAAGTTTGTTTAATAGTGCAGAGGTAGCTTTTTGCTCAAATTTAAAAAAGCTCTCATAGAAAATTCGTGTACGTCTTTAGGTCAACCTGTTCCCTTGCTAAGTCACTTTGACCTTAAGAACTTCACACACAATGCCGGTAACATTAGAAAAAAAGACAATGAAAAGTGGGTGTTTTGACAGATTGACACTTACACTTTATGTACAATAGATATTGTCTTTAAGTCTACAAGTCTCGCACTTCAGTTAAGTGCGTTGAATTCGATGCATCCGTCTGACTTACTCTTATTGGTTGATAGTTAGTCGATATAATATCGCAGACTTGGAAATCAAAAATCACAGTTAATAGTTGATGTACCGCTTTATACTGAGTTTTATATCTATTAGCAGCTGTAAAAACATACAAATAATATTGCAATGAGAATCTTTAATAATGTAACATTGATTTGACATAACCAATTAATATGCCCTTTGCAAAAAAAAAAGAATCTTAAGTTTTTACGATTGGTCTAGAATATAAATTCTGGACCAATACAGCGATTCGGAAAATCAAAGTCACGAGCAGCCACTAGTGACAACTTTTTTCAAGATAAAATTTCAGATTCTCTTAACTAGAAGTGAAAACATATAAAGTTATTAAAAGAGTCTCTTTGGTACCAACATTATAGCCAAATAAGGACAAAAGCTACCATTTATTAATATATACTTGATTTTCAGAAATAATCTTTATAAGTACACACAAACCACCCTAAGCAGCGTCATTATAAATGAACCAGCTAATTAACAAACAACATAACCCTCATGCTTTAAGAATCAATTATGAATTCTGGAAAAAGTAACCTATGTCCGTCCCCAGACCTCAAAATATGTTAATGTTACATTCATCACAATTGACTCAACATCTGTATAAGCTAATTAAATAATATACACACACACATAATTATATTAGTACTCAGAATTAGGTTAGCTTATAAAATATAATTAAAATAATTATGTAACACAATATTCGGTTTTTCCACATTATCACGTTTCCTTAATGAACTTAATAAAAAAGTGACGAATCATGAAAAACGTAAATTAATCAATTAATATTATGAACCATGAGTCTAATACAATGTCCTTACTAGGAATAATACGCCCTGTCGCCTCCGCCTAGACAATGCTGAAAAATAAAAAGACCAACATGGCGCCGCTAACAAGCCAACGGGCCTGTCACTCGTTTCCCGCTTAAACAGCTGTCAAGTGTCAATCCGTTGTTGCGTCGCGTCAATATTGAATTTTGTTTTGATAATTTGTTTATTGAAAGTTTGTCTTATTTCATTTGTTACATTATTATTGTTTGTTTATGAAATTATATGTTTAGAGTGTTTGTTATTTTATTGTGGACACTACACTTCTAATGCCTTATTTCAGTAATGTTTGTTATTAAGTTACTGTCATATTTGTCTATTGAGCTTTTATATCTTCGTTACATTCTTATTGAGGATTAGATAGAATATTAAAATGTTCAGGAAACTTCGTCCATAATGTCCATTTTATTAAATATATATTACAATATTTTAATGTTTAAACTAATAAGTTTATCATTATTCTTTAACATGGTTTTTCATAGAATCCGTGGATTACCATGGTCCACGGATTCTATGAAAATTTCAAGTGTCTAGGTAATTATGATTAATAACTAGTTAAATATTATTCCTAGCGTCAAACACAGCCAGAGTACCATAGAGAAACTCTCATAGATAACAGAATATTAACAATAGGGTTGGCACCAGATGAATGTGTATCTCTTAAAATCACATGTGAATCTTTCAAATAAAAACAGCTTATATTTACAAAATGATAGCTAATTGGATTGAGCACTCTGTAATAAAAAGCTAATGGATATATGATAAACTGTTTTTTTTTTCAATTAATAGTATTGGCTACCAATTCCATTAGCTTAACCCTTGAATACATAGAATTGGTAGGTACTAAACATCACTACAATCTTTAATGTAAAAAACCCTTAAAATTATGTAATATAAATAGTAAGAAAGAAAAATCAAATTTGGTATAACCAATACAGAGGACCAAAAGTATTATTATAGAAATGATAAATTATGACATTTAAATCAAATATTTTTAATGCACATTTATTGAAAAACTTGTTTTTTTTTAGAGAGTCTGTACATAAAGAAACAAAATGAAGACGCTGCAAGTTAAAAATATTTACAATTAAAAAATAAATGATAAAAGTCCCACACTACCTCTGTATAATATTAACACGATGCACTGCCACTTAATGTGAGGCGGTGAAGATGGAATGGGATACAACGACCTATTAATCTACAAAAAGATATGAAATTCCTATTCGGGGTAGTTAATTTCTCAAACCAGGCTTTAGTTGTGGGCACAGGGACTATTTTTTACACTCAGGTCAATGGCATGCAGAAATTGCTTAGGGATATGACCATCGTTTGATCATATTATCTTTAAGACGAATGAGGAAGTATTATAAAAAAAGAAATCACTAAAAAAGCACCTCCACTAAATGGCGCATCCAGTAAAAGTTGATTTTTGCAGGAAACTAATTTACTAAAGACAGTACATTTCGTTCCTTTTAACTAACATATAAATAAACTGAAATTTAAAAAGTTCGAAAAAGTACAAATAGAATATGAGTTGTTTATTGAGTTTTGAAAACTAATTTACTTTTAAACTTGAAAGAAAACCGGAAAGGTTTTCATGGAGAAATCAATAGCTTTTCATGGAGTAGCGACATCTACTTTGATTTCGGGAACATTTTTTTTTTAAATAGTTCCTCATTGTTAAATCACTATATGGCACTTTGTTATCATTTATCAGTGTTATATTCTGTGCAGATCGTGCAAGTTTATCTACGAGCTCGTTCCCTAATATGCCGCCGGAATGTTCCGGTACCCAACAAAATTCAATTAATAAATTACATTGATTCAATAGTTAATAGTATTTCAGGTTTCTAAGTTCACAATCTAAGTAGTTACAATTCACTATTTTAATGCAAGTAGATAATTAGTTATTCTATGAATGGATCATAGAATCACTAAGTATCATGAACTTGGAAAATGACAATGAATTGAAATTCAATAATATATCGCACACCTAGATCTAAACTAAGACAACTCAAAAAACTAATTTGGAGGTCTGACAGTACATTTGTTTACGTGGCAGGAGCGCTACCACTGTTGATTCAACAAAAGAAAGCTAAAGCTATCTTGCAGCTCTTCCCTGAACTTTTTATTGAATCTGTTATGTCGGATAGATGCGTATGATCACCGAGCATTTGAATATTCTACTAAGTCAAAACTCACTCCAATTTTTGAGTTGTCTCTGTTTAGATCTAGGTGTGCGATATATTTAACAGCATAAATTATGCGTATTATTTCAGCAGAAAAAAATTGAGAAATTCGGATCACGTGAATAAACTTTACCAATTTTAAGTCAAGAATCGTAAAATGCAAAACTAGTGTGATTATTTGTTTTAGAACCATCAGTGTAAATTTTTATATAAATTTTTTTCTCGTTCAGAAACACATAAAAGCCGTGTTTTGAATCGAATCTAGTTAACGTAACTACAACATAGCATTACTTCAAAGCTGTAAGAGAAGCAAGGAGGCTTAAACGACCAATAAATCATATCTTGAAATTCAAAGTTTAAGTAGGTAATGCATTCCGTAATGGAAGGCATCGCATGCATAGAAATATTATTATAATTAGGGATTGCAAAATTTTCAAGGAAACGACCAACTAAAACATTATCACGACTAATTAAAATCAGACATTATTTTTCTTATAAAATACTTCTTATATCTTTGTCATTTTTATCAGACACCATCTAAAAGACGAAAGATTGCATATTTCGTATTTCAA